TGATCGATATCCAGCCCCACTTTGACAGAATGGATGATGTGGAATTTTAATATTGAATCTTTTATTTCAATTTTAAATGCTTCTTTTATTATGCCTGTAAGCCGCCCAGAGTCCCAAGGGAGTGGGCGGCATACAAATTTCAATAAATTGAAATTGAATTGAATTGCTTGGAAAGAAGGTTTATTAACAGAATCACATGGTTTGAGGTCCTGGGCAAAGGAAAAAGGGAAGAAGTGTTGAGAGTACCTGGGTTTTATGCCGTCTGTTGGGCTTTGAATTTGAGCGTATGTTCTGGTTGATTGACAGACTCTCGTGGGACCAGGCAGGGATAATTCTGTAGGTTGTCTGTGTCCCAGGCTTGGTTGAGCCTTGCTGGGTGATGATGTAATGAAGGGGCTTTGGGCAATTCCTATTATGATTGTGCTTGAACAGTAGTGGGTTTCAGCTCCCGTTGCAACCAGTACGCTGCAATGGGAGCCGGCTGTGCAACACGGGCATGTGTGCTTCGACGCTCTAGCTGCTCGGTGGAGCATTGTGCAGGCGCTGTACGCTGCGCACATGTGCGCAGATGGCCCGTTTCCTTCAAATACAGGTAAGGAACGAGGGTGGGTGGGTGGGGCCTCCACAGCACCATTCCAGTATGGTGGCTGCTGCTTCCGGCAGGCACAGGTATGCATGTACCGGGGCGTATTGCCTGCAACCCACCACTGTGCTTGAAGGAGGTAGATCTTTGTTATGTAGAATAGACTGCCCCAGGCCTTAATGGTCCATTAACAAAGGTGGGGTGGGACTGAGTTTCTGCTTCCACTTTTAGGGGATATATTCTGTCCTCTTAATATTTCCTAAAATATTTCATTTTTCTAGGAGATGGGTGGGTGCTAACTTCCTAGTTATAGTAAGTCCAATTGCGTTCAGTTAGATTTATTCCAAATACGTATAAGAATAAAAATCAGACCAAACCTGTGAACTGGAGAGAAAGAAGCCAAAGACATTTGTGCAGCCCAGTTAAGGTTAACTCTCTTTTTCCACTACATCCCCCCACCACCACCACTTTCCTCTGCACCGATTTTTGCCTCGCTCATTGGTTTCAGCAGAAGAAAATCACCTTAGCTTTACAAAAAGACTTACTTTTCTCTTGTTTCAAGGCTGAATCCAGATAGTAAAAAGGGTTTCAATTAGGCAATTACAAACCTTCTGCTCCCATACATATTCTGTGTTTGCACCCAGTACTGTTAGAGCTTTAATAGGATTTTCTTCAGTGGGTCTCCATGAGGAAAAAGAAGTCTCTGGAATCCAGAATTATTGTCTCTTTAACGTACACCAAAATTGATTTTGCTTAAAAAAAATCTGTCTAAATTCACCTCACCCACCTGACAGCTACTCAGCAGGGATATTTAAGTCTACAAATTTAACATCTTATTTTCCTGCTGAGGCAAATCATACCTATTTAACTAAAGCACATCATATTATAGCCATTAAAGCTACAGAATCTCTCTCAGGAGAAAAATGTTCCAATCTTCCTTGGAACATGAATGGCATGCCTTGCACTAACCAACATAGTGATGTTAGTTAAATACAATTTGCTCCAGAACACATCTCACAAGCAATTAATCATTACAATGTAGAAGCACCTATGACTTGACTTTCAAAATTAATATTCTGATCCTTAGGAAATAATCATAGCCTAGAAAGAGAAGCCTGCTAAATATTTTGCATTATTCTGTAAAATAGTTGGATGAAAACCACTCCATTCCTGCTGCTAAACAGGCTCTTGAGTAAGTTCCTAACAGCTGCACTTTCAGTAAACAATTATACAACTTGGTCTAAAGCAGTGGTGGGATTCAGCCAGTTTGCACCTATTCGGGAGAACTGGTTGGTAACTTTCTAAGCAGTTTGGAGAACCGGTTGTTGGAAGAAATCCCATCTTGTTTTTTTTTCATTTTCCAGGGCTAATCCTGTAAGGAAGACAGGAAGGAAACATTCTGGTGTTGTCTCTAGCTTAATTTTTATTGCCCTGCTTACAGAAACTGCATCTCCTGTTAACCCTTGTTACATTGTAACAGCTAAGGCAAAGCGTCCATCGATGTGAGTGACATTGAGCTGGCCACACCCACCCAGTCACATGACCACTGAGCCACACCTACCCAGCTGGTCATTAGGTCAGAGAACCGGTTGTTCAATTATTTGACTCCCACCACTGGTCTAAAGTGTTTATGGAAGCAGAAAACTCATAACAGTTACTACTGTCTAACTCAATCTCACATATCCATCGCCTTCCTTAGCTGGCTAATCATGTTACATGGCAAGTTTACCAAAGAACTCTTATATGTTATCACCGATCTTATTGTTTATTAAATTTATATGCCTTCTATTTCCCTATAAAGCAGTTGTTATTATTGTTCTCATGTAAGAATAAGACTATTATAGATATATAATCAAAATATATATACAGTATATTTAACACCTGATTGAGACAGCCAATCCAGGAAGAAATTGTGATCACAAGCATCTGCAGGATTTCATCAAAATTATGAAAGCAACATCTCACTGAGAGTTTTGCCCTTTTGTATTTCTGTGAGATATCTCCAAACCCTATAACAGGAATGAAGGTGACAAATCAACAGTGTTATGGTCACTCCCCACTCTAATGATGCCTCTAACTCTGCTTGATGGTATTGCTAGGGCTCAGGAGTAGAGGAGAATTAACACAGTCACATTCAACCAGTTCTTTTCTCCGGAACGACAAAACCAGATCTGAAGTCTAATGGAAAAGGATCTTTAAACAACCAATAACCAGAACATGAGTTATTCCAGAGCGATCTACATGACCTAGATTCTGGTTACATTTCCAGCAGTCTACATGGTTTCTTTCAAAGTGGATAGCACTCTCTCAAAAAAAGAACCGACATCTTTCTCCAATCATTTATAATTGCCTTTGAAATAACAGGCAGCAAAAAGCTTTTCAATCATTTCTTATTTCTGTTGAAGAAAGGACAGACTTGGATACATGCTGTTAGGTGCTTGTGATAGCACTGTATTATGACAAATGCAGGAATACGTTTATGTGGTGTTTCCAGGTCTTTATCTAATGTGCTTCAGTCTCTGGCAGTTATGGTTGTGACTGTAGCAATTCTTGAAGAGACCCCAACCTGTGGAATCTCATGCTTTCATTCCTAAGCATGAAAAGGACAAAGGGAGACTTGCCCCAGACCGCAGGGGATGGATGGAAAAGGAAATTAAAGCTAGCTACAGGATTTCCCAAACCCATATTCAAATTCATAGACATGTGCACCACCATTTGCTGAGTTAAATATTGTTATTTTATAGTATTTCAGAAAACAGTTAAAGAAGAGTACTTAATAAGGTAAATACTGCATATGCAACTGCATTCAAATTTGGATCAAGACACTAATAAGTTATCTGGGATCATGTGACATAATCTAATAACTACAGCATGGCGAACTATTATGAAATACAGTTAGTCACTGTTGTGATGCACCTTCTTGTCATTTTGTAATATTAGTTTGAACCAAGAAGATGCTCCCTAATTATATTTCTGTCCCTCTTTGCAAGAAAATAAAATTCATCTCCTCTACATGGGTTTTTGACTTTTCTTTTCTACTAATTGTTTGGAAAGTGCAATGTTTTTATCAAGACTGTATCCAGGAAATGATGTTCCATGAGTCATCCTGTCCAATAACATTAGATCAGAAAGCATACTCAAATGTATTTAGAAGTGACCTCCAGCTGGTACCTTTTGATATGATTTGATGTTGTTATGTATCCCTGTTTCCCCAGGCAGTGAGAATTCCAGAAACCATATGTTCATTATTTCTTTCAGATGAAGGAGTATGGGAGAGTTAATACTTATTTTATTTATTATTATAAAGAAAGACATAACTGTATCGAATGGTTTACTCCAATTAAATTGCAACCCACAAAATCTTCATCTCTGTAAGACTTATTCCTGAGTAGACATGCTGAAAATTCATAGATCTCCAGAGAGTGGTTAGCTCAAAAGTTTCATCACTCTTTTTTTAAATTTGTATTTAAAATTTGAAGTGATATTTTAGTGTTAGATTAGATTAGATTAAATAGTTAGATACTTCATTGCCATTTATCTTTAGCTGAGTGGATATCTCATTTTAAAAGCTGCTCTTAGCTCATTTTAGACAATCAACTTATCAACTTAACAAAGGGTGGGAAAGATTACTGTTCTAATAGCATCATTGATGTAAGGCGCATGTCTAGCAAGAAATAATAGCAATAGCAATAGCAGACTTATATACCGCTTCATAATGTTCTGTATGTATGTATTGCACATATTTACAAAAAACAGGAAATAATTATTTTAGGATGAAACTTCAAATAGGGACAATTTTGTCCTTCTGACTAGAGCATCGTGGCTTGTCTCCAGTCTGTCTAGCAATAGGAGAAATCATTAATCCTGCAAAAATTCTGACTGTATGCAAAACACATATCTTCTTTTGCTCATGATGTTTCATTAAGTGGTAAACCATGCAGCCCACAAAATTCACAATACAAGATTCTTAAATCTTAAATATCTTTTTTAAATTATTTTTTCCCATAGTCCGAGATCGTGTACGATCAAAAATGGAAAGAGACATTTTGGCTGAAGTGAATCACCCTTTCATTGTAAAACTTCATTATGGTAAGATTTCTCCAATATAATTTCTCTAATACAGAATTCCTATGGCTCTATGGGCATTTTCAACTGGATACATCATACTATACTGTTTAAAATCATAAACCATTAACCATTCAACCAGGCTTTATATTTTGTCATCTATGATAAACAGCTTAATTTTATAAGTAAAGCATCCTATTATGGTTTGTTAAAAAAAAATCTATGGTTAAAATAAAGAGCCAGAGCCAATTTGATATAATTGTATCAGCAGAAAGGCACAAAGTCAGCTGGACAATCTTGGACAGCTAGTCCTTGCCTTACAACCACAACTGAGTCCAAAATTTCCATAGCTAAGCAAGACAATTGTTAATTAAGTTGTGCCCCATTCTATGACTTTTTTGCCTCAGTTTTTAAGCGAATGACTGCAGTTGTTAAGTGAATTGTGCAGTTGTTAAGTGAATCTGAGATTCCCCATTGACTTTGCTTGTCGGAAACCAGCTGGGAAGGTTACAAATGGTGATTACATGATCCCAGAGTACTGTCATTAATACATACCAGTTGCCAAGTGAATTTTGATCCTGTGAGGAGGCTGTAATGGTTGTAAATGTGAAAACTAGTTATAAGCCACTTTTTCAGTGCTGTTGTAACTAAACACATGATTGTACATTGAGGATTACCTGTACCATTATTCTCTTTGCCTAGGAAGAAGGCAGTGGTAAACTACTTCTGCAAAACCTTGCCAAGAAAACTTATCCAGGCAGTCTCTGAAAATTACCATTGCACGGGAAAAAATTGATAGGTGTAATGTCTGAACCCATCTTATCAGAATTATGCATAATAATGATTAACTCATTAGCCGCATCTAAGCACACTCAGTTAGAGTATTATTATTAAAAACTCAGCATTTTCTTCACTGCAGCTTTTCAAACAGAAGGAAAACTATATCTCATACTAGATTTCCTGCGAGGAGGGGACCTTTTTACCAGACTTTCTAAAGAGGTAAGTCCAATAAACTAAATGTTAATGTTTAAAAACAAAGCAGAAAATAACAAAAAAAAACCAAAGCAATAAATTACTGTCTTTGTGTTTCTTCATAGCAGAATCCATCTTTAGAGTTTCTCCTTTGTATATGATCTGCAAATTTGGCACCTAATTTTCATGTAAACCTTATTTTTTTTAGTTCATATAGTTTTGTGAGCTGAGTGCAACCTTTGTGGAAAAATACCAAGATAAAGAAAACTGGTTTAATCAAATCTTTATAAGTGAACCAAGTCTATTTTTCTGGCAATTGTGTTTTACAAATGGACAAACTCAAATGTTATCTTTGAGAAATAGGACCGTTATTTCTTTGACCTAGCTATCAACTGATATTACCAGCAACCACTTGCAGAAACTTAATTTGTCTACAATCTCTATTTTGAGACTGGATTTAAGTTATGGCTGTGAACTTGATCTAATTTGGGACTTCTTACTTTCCCATTTCCTATTTTCAGTATCACCTAATCCAGGGCTCAGCAACCTGCAGCCGGACAGCTGCCTATATCCCCTGAACTCCTTTTTGTGCTTGCCAGAATTCCCTTTGATTCTATTGCCAAATTTTAGCAGCAATAAGAGTACTGCTGAAAATTGTTTTTAGCATTTTGAGCAGGAAATAAAGAGATTCAAATGGAAGCTTTGAAATTGATTTAACATAATTATAAAAACAAAGCAAAATCCCACCCACTCCTCAGAATCAGGAAAATTCCTGGAAGACCTCAGCCCTGTTAACATACATGACACACTCACATCTTCCCATTTTGCATTATTGGTCCCATCCAACCAATCCATGCCCTCACCCACACATATCTCTCACAACCAAAATTTGGCAATTTTTATTATAATCCAAAGCAATTTAAAAACATACACAGGACTTTTTGGCATTTTGATCAGTGCTATTAAAGCTATTATCCAATTATGGATTTTTAAATGATCTATGCAAGATGGGGTGAATTCTTGAATTCTACTTTCCTTTCTTCCTGCCTAGTTGGTTTGAACAATAGGTGACAAGTCATTTTCTTGATCATTCTAAAAGCAGAAGTTCCCAAGAGATGAGGACCATCAAAAAGTTGTAAAAGTAGCTAGTAAAATACCGTAGCAGGCTAAGATTATAAGGAATTGATTGCTGTGTCAAATTTTGCTTATGTCATCCAGAATACATTCCCCACTCTTCTCGTTTCTATCAGCCCTGGGTACAACACACTATAAAGACTCAGAAAAACTTGGCCAGCCATTCCAGAATGTGAATAGTGATTAAAACACCATCTGAAGAATAATAGAACAGCTGGGAAGAGGAGGAGGAAGGCCTTCTGCTAACCATTTCCTGGCAACAGAGATGGCATTCACTTGATTTCTTGGAAGTGACTAGCCATCAATCATAACCATGTACTTCTTCTAGCATCCAAACACATTTTCTCTTGAAATATACCTTGCCATGTGCCATTAGCAAAAATGCCCGTACTTCTCTTCTCTCTTTTCTCCTCCTGCTCTTTTTAGTATGTCATAATCCATAGGGCTTTGCAAAGTATTCGAAAGAGACACCTTTCAACATGCAGAAGCACCTCTTTTTTCCTCTTGTTCAAGCATCCATGCCATTTGCAAAAGTGATAGGGCTGTTGTAGAAGCTGTTTCTCTCTCTCTCTCTCTCTCTCTCTCTCTCTCTCTCTCNAGAGTGTGTAGAATTGGTTGGATTACAAATTGTGTAAATAAATGAAACAACCAATAAATAGGTTACCAACTCAGGAGTTGTCACAAAAAAGAGGGAGTCAAGCTATTCTCCAAAGCACCTGAGGGTAGAACAAGAAGCAATGGGTGGAAACTAATCAAGGAGAAAAGCAACTTAGAACTAAAGAGAAATTTCCTGACAGTTAGAACAATTAATCAGTGGAACAACTTCCTTCCAGAGGTTGTGAATGCTCCAACACTGGAAGTTTTTAAGAAGAGATTGGATAACCATTTGTCTGAAATGGTGTAGGGTTTCCTGCCTAGACAAGGGGTTCGACTATAGAAGACCAACCCGGAAGACCAACGGAAGACGTCTCTTCTGTTATTCTATTCTATATTGATCTATGTGATAGAGGATTGACATACAGCTCAATAGCAAAGTTTCTAGGTGGCGTACAGTAACAACAAGAAAATTAATACAATGCAAATTAAATATGATGGAGTATTTAAAAACATCCAGTGACAGAAAATAAAACTACAGTGATAAATTGTCAAGCAATTTGTACATAGATAGAAGTAGGGGTAGATACAGATATATTTGAACTAGGTTTTAAAGAGCCTGAAAAAGAGGGGTTGCTTAAAGCCCCAAATCTACCAAATAGGTAAACAGTGAGTGCCTAGCATGTAAGAGATGAAGGAGAAAGCCCTTTCTGTAATTAACACTCATTTGTCTGGGACACTGAGTTTAAATGTTTCACAGGCTAAAGAGACCCACTGTACAGACAAACCCCACCTGCCTCTCAAGCCATCAAGAGAATGCCCAGGTATCAATTAACTTGGAAATGTGGGAGGGAAAACCCTAGAATTTATACTATGGGGCAGAACCCATAGAACGGTTTTAACTTCTTTGCACTATAGAGAGCAGAATCAATTGGGTATAAGACTTTATAGCTGGGGCCATGCATTACACTTGGTTGTAATCAAGATCCCTAAAATGTCTTTTACAACTATCACAATAGGATTCACATTGTGCTAAGTCAGAATTAAATCATGTAGTTTACTATCAAACACAGCAAGCAAAGATGATCCTTGCTATCTATGACCTTGTTTCCACAGTTTCACATACAGTATATTTAGTTCAGGCACTATCTTTTGTGCCTTTACCCATGCAAAAAATGTCAAATGAACTTTTGTGCAAAAAAAAATGTTTAGAATCCTGTCCCCTTACTTTACTTATACAAAAAAGATGGATTCCACTCAGTGCTACTGATTCATGCCATACCAAAAACCATTTTCATGTATTGCACTATTTCATTGTCACACAAATCCACCGAGGATGGTTTTTACATCTACTTTGCTTGCATGGATTTATTTGTAATTCCAAACTTGTCCTGACTCCTGACCAGCATCATTCATTAAATGAATTAAAATGCAAAAAGTAGGACAAATGCTTTGGTTACGAAAATATCTTCTTAATAGAGGCATGAGTTTGTCTGGTAGTAGTATCATCTGTTTCCTTCCATTCCCAGTGAAAAGTTCTGGTTATTGATATTCATAAGGCAATAAAAAACATAATACAGTAATGTAAATCTCTGTGAAGGGAAATTGTAATTGATGAAAGCCAGAAAGAATTCCTATTATGAACAACTCATAATAGAGGAGATCCCTCAAGATCTTCTTTTTATGATGATGAAGATGATAGATATAATGATTGCATTATGTCTTTGTTAGAATATAGGTGATAAATAAAATGGCTAAGTTCAGATTTGGAGACTGTCAAGTTTCAAGAATTTCTGCTTCCTTGATTACTAATGTAATCAATTTGCCATTTTTTCCTGTCAACTTCCTCCTCCTCTTTTCACAGGTAGAACATGATAGAATTCTTTATTAGCCATGTGTGATTGGGCACACAAGGAATTTGTCTCTGGTTCATAAGCTCTCAGTGTACATACAAACAACAAGTGATAAATCATGATCATAATAATAAAATACAATCATCATAAATCATAAGATACAACATTCAGTGATAGTCATAGGACACTAAATAATCAATCAGGATAAATGATGAGATACAAACAACAAAGTTATAGGTCATAAGAAGCTAAGAACATAGATATGTTGTGCCCTGTAGTGTTTTTTATTTCCCCTGCCAAGTTCCCAACCTTCATGTTCATTATTATTTTCTTCCACACCACTCACTTCTCACTTGCTTACTCCATCTCAAGCTGCACTTCTGCAAGCTTCATACACTTTTCTTTCCTGCCAGGTTATTATTGGGGCAGAGCATCTTATATCTCTGCTGTTAGTTTCATCTCTTCATCACCCTCAACTAGCTCAGCTGCCCATTCATTTCCAGAAATTCTTAGTTTCTGCAGCCTGCATACTCCATAACCAGGAATAACTGCAACAGCTGATTTTCATCTTCAATCTTGGAATTGTTGTGAGGCTGTTATCATGGGCTCTGCATCTATTGCTATTCTCTCAAAATCTCTATTTGCAACCTCAACTGAAAATATTCCCAGGAGTAAACTCAATTGTTGGAGACTACACAAACATCTTTTTTTAACTTTCTGCTTGTGTTATCCTGTTTAGCTTTTTCAAGATGAGCCAGTTAACATCTGCCTTAGTTGCATAATCTATATACTTAGAATGTAGAGTAATTGCTGTTTTTATATACATACACAATTTTATTAAAGATTTTTAATAAGTATAGAAAGTTACATGAAGTAGTATAAGAAAAAGAAAAGAAAGAGAAATGCAGGTGCAAAAAGGAAAAAAAGTAAAGAAAAAAAATAGAAAAAATAGCCATCATTTTCATCAACTATTCCTCCATTGTTGATGATGCTGAAGTTTCCCATCTTTGTACATACAACAATATTGTTGTACAAAGTTCAGTCACTTTATTCCAATTGTTTATACAATTTTGCTTTGCTGGGTTTCAGTAAAGTTGCTGAATAAACAAATAAAACAGACTTTTATTTCTTGTTTTTAAATTGGTGTATGATACAGTAAAACAATTACCTAAAATGTATGAAAATTGTGAAACATTTAAAATGGTAACATGAAAATATCAGATAGCTTAAAGACCATCAATTATTCCATCAGTAGAACTCCAAAAGAAGCCATTCTCCAATCCTATAAACAATGTTTAATAAATCATTTCAAAATAAATCAGATATGACCAACAGCAGCATTGTTAATTGGGAAAAACATTAACTACGTAATATAATGGAAAAAGTCTTAGCAAGAGGCAGGATCTGGCCAACTATATCTGGGCTCAAAAGCTAAACAGGATTGGC